TTCTTCAATCTTAGCATCAACCAACTTATCGCTTTCATCTGAAGACTGGCTGAATCCTAATTTTGGAAATTTAAATTTAAACTTTGATTTCTCCTGAGCTCCTTTGTCCTTATGTTCTGCTGCTTCCTCAACTTTTGCCCCAGCCTCCTGATCTTGCTTAACAGATGGTTTGTCCTTTTGTGCTTCCATTTCCTCTATTGTTGGAACATTAAATTCAACCTCAAAGCCCCTGAGAACATCCTCAAGTGTAGGCATTGTAAATTTGGGTGATTTTCCAGCCCCTTGAGTATCATCTTTGGGTTCTATTTTAGCATCTGGAGCACTCACTTTGGTGGTTGTGTCATCTTCTCCTTCCTGAGATTTTGTTCTTGAAATGCTGATCTTTGGCATTTTTATTGTAGGAAACTTGAATTTACTTGGGGAGCCTTTGTCCCCATCCAGTTTTTTAGCAGCAGTGTCTGGAAGCTGTTCAGTGGTTTCTTTAATTTCACCCTCTCTTTTTGTTTCTTTAGACACTTGTACAGGCTTGTCTTCAATATTTAGGTCAGTGTCTGGTACATCTACTTTTGCAACTTTTACTTTTGCATCAGATGTTTTTTGAGCAGAAGTTCCAAATTTTGGCATTTTAAAAGTAGGCAATTTGAATTTACTTGGAGAACCTGAAACAACTGTATCTTCTTTCAACTCTGTCTCTACCTCTTTTTTTTCAAGGCTGGAACTTCCCTCTAAAGCCATGTCTACTTTTGGGAGACTTGCATCTTCTGCTGCGACCTTGATTTCTGGTTCAATTATCCCAGTTTCAAGTGTTTCTGTCTTTACCTCTTTTGCAGTCAACGTCACCTCAGGACCTTTTACTTTGGGTAACGAAATCCCAAATTTTGGAAGTTTAAATTTAATTTCCTGTCCCTCTTGATTAAGTTCTTTTTCTTTTATATTAATATCAATAGATGGGGTTTCAGTCTCTGCAGTTTTGCCTTTGATGTCACCTGATAGATCTACCTTTGATGTCTCTATCTCATAATCCACAGAACTAATTTTAATTTCCTTGGTTTCAGAATCAGCCTTTGCTGCATCACTAAGGACCTTTGGAGAGGAAACTCCAAATTTGGGTAATTTTATTGTTGGGAGTTTGAATTTTGTTGGCGAGCCAAATTGTGGACTTGTTATTTCAGTTTTGCCCTCTGTCTCACTTTCTCCTATTTCTGTAGTGCCCTCTGGCAAGGATATATCTGCTGCCGTTTCACTGGCTTGAATATCTTGGGACTTGCCATCTGATTTTGAAAATCCAATTTTTGGAAATCCAAAGCTTGGTTTCTTCATTTTTACACTAAGTCCCTTAGAACTCATATCAGTTAAATCTGCTGGTTCCTCAGCCACAACATCTTTTACTGTAACAGATTCTTTAACATCAGTTTGAGAAACCTCTGCTTTTGAAACACTTATGTCAATTTCTGGACTTTTTGATGCTTGTAGAGAAATTCCAAACTGTGGTAGTTTGATTTTACTTTCTTCTACTTCAAGTTCAGCACCTTTAGTCTCCACATCCACTTCCACTGATCCTTTGGGTAACTTTAGCTCTTTCTTGTCTATAGATAGTATATCCCCTGACATTTTCACTTCTGTTTCGGTCCGAGCTTTCTTAAGCCCTTGGTCACCATCTGGACCTTTAATTGTTGGAAGAGCAATCCCAAATTTTGGAAGCTTAAATTTGCCCTCTTGTTGTTCTTTATTATCTCCCTTAATGTTTATCTCAATGGATGGACCTTCAACTGTTGGCCCTTTCATTTCAACACTTAACACTTCTCCTGACATGTTAAACTTCTTATCAGGAAGGCTTACTTCAGGAACATTGATGTCCACATGTGCCGTAGGTATATCAACTGTGTCCTTTGATGCTTTGGTTCCAAATTTTGGGAAATTGATTGTTGGAAGTTTAAATCTTGTTGGAGAGCCAAAAGTTTCCTCCTTCAAATCAGGTTCTTGTTCTGGTAATTTAATGTCTGCAGACTGCACTGAAACATCAACATTTCCCGCTGATGTGCCCATGTCAGCTTTGGGTAGACTCACATCAATTTCAGGAGCCTTAAGATCTGGTTTTGAAAATCCCAATTTGGGAAGTTTCACTTTCAGCCCTCTCGAGTCAACTTCAACTTTATCTGTTTTCCCCTCAATGGTCACATTTTGAATTTCAACACTGGGCTGTTGTACATTTACCTTTTCTTCGCATAGCAGGTCAGTCTCTATGTTTATTTCTTTTCCCTCCATCTCTATCCCCTTTACTTTTGGCATGCCAATTCCAAATTTTGGCAGCTTGAACTTACTTCCCATCCCATCAGCATCAATTTCTTTAACCTTGATGTCCACATCAACCGATGGCCCTTTAATGTCTATGTTTGGTTCTATGTCAGTGGTTTGTAACTCTACTTTTTCTGGGAGACTGATTTCAGGTTCTTTGATATCCACTTCAACTGCTGGAATATCAGCTGTAGCTTTTGGATGTTTGTGTCCAAACTTTGGAAGGTTGATTGAGGGCAACTTAAATTTTGTTGTATCTCCTTGTTTCACTTCATCTGTAATGGTGATTTTTGCATCTACGTCTTTAATAGGTATGTTGCCCTCTTGCATAGACATATCTACCTTTGGTTGACTGGCATCAACATATTGTCCCTTAATATCTGGCTTTGAAAAACCAAATTTTGGAAGTGAAAAGCTTGGCTTCTTCAGTTTCACATCAAGCCCTTTCAAGTCAACTTCAGGCATATCTGCTTTGCCTTCAATGGATATGTCTTGAATGTCAACATTAGGTTGGGGTAGTATTATTTTTCCTTCTGCTAGATGAACATCAGTTTCTCTTATTGTGGCATGTATATCGGTCTCTATTTCTTTTACATCTAAGTCAATTTTTGGTATTTGACCTGACACCTTGATGTCTGGTTCATGAGCAGTGATTCCGATTCCTTTTATGTCCTTATCTGCTGATGGTAAACTTACTGTACCTTTTGAAGTTTTGACTCCAAATTTTGGCAAGTTAATTTCTGGCAGTTTAAATTTGGTTGGGGAACTAACAATTGTTAGATCTTTCTGTTCAGCCTCTCCTCCAGAAAGTGTGAAGTCTGCTGTTTGCTCTTTTACAGGTACATTGACCTCTTGTATGGACACTTCAGCCTTTGGTGCACTGACATTAACCTCTGGAGTTGAAGTGTCTGGTTTAGAAAACCCAAACTTGGGAAATGAAAAGCTTGGTCTCTTCACTTTTACTTGGAGTCCTTTGGAGTCAACCTCAGGCATGTCTGCACTCCCTTCAACTTTAGCTTCAGTATTGGGTGGCTGTACTTCTAATTTCACATCAGGTTTAGAAATGTCAGTTTTTAAGTTTGTTCCTTCTAATTCTTTATCTGTCACATTAATTTCTAATGCTACTTTTGGTGATTTAACACCAAATTTCGGGAGGCTTATAGACGGGAGTTTAAACTTTGTTGGGGATCCAAAAATTGTTGAACCTTTTTGGTCAGACTCCATCTTTGACACTTTAATATCCACATTTGCTTCTTCTAGGTCCATACTGCCTTCGGGTATGGGGATATCAGTTTTTTGAATACTTACATCAACTTCAGGGGCTTTTAATTCTGGTTTTGAAAACCCAAATTCAGCTGATGTCTTCATCTGCACATCTAGACTTTTAGAATCTTGTTCTGGTGGGTGAACCATCCCGTCAGTTGTTATCTCAGGTTTTTTTATATCAATTTGTTGTACTTCAGTTGTATCATCTGACTTTGATGTACTTAAATCAAACCCTTTTACTCTAGGAAGGCCAATACCGAACTTTGGCATCTTAAACTTTCCCCCCTGTCCTCCAAGTTCAGTATCATCAACATTCAAGTCCACACTTACAGTTTGACCCTCTGTGGCTAGATGAGGTCCCTTTATTTCTACTGATGGGGCTTCACCTGATATTTTTATTTTTGTATCTGGACCACTCACTTCAGGTCCTTTAACAGCTATATCTACAACTGGCATAGATTTATCTTCCATCGTAGCTTGTCCTCCAATCTTTGGGATGTTGATTGAGGGGAGTTTAAATTTTGTTGTGGCACCAAGAGTTGCTGTATCTTTTTGATCATCCTCAACATTTGACACTGAGATATTCATGCTTTGTTCTTGTATTTTCACATCACCTTCTGGTTTAGAGGTATCAACTTGTGCAAGTCTGACATCAATCTCTGGGGCCTTAATATCTGGTTTAGAAAATCCAAATTTAGGAAGTGAAAAGCCTGGTCTTTTCATTTTCAGACTTGTGTCTTTTAAATCAACTTTTTGATCAAATTTGCTTTCTAGTGTGGCTTGTGATACTTCCGTTTTAGCTGAAGGTTCCCCAAGTTTTGCCTCTGGTAAGGAAATATATCCTTCTGCCTTTGATGTTTTGGCCTCTGTAAGTGACAGGGTGTATTGATCTCCACTATCTACCTTTGGCTGATCAACACTGATTGAGGGTTTCTTCAACTCTTGACTGGGCACATTATAGTCAATTTTTATGTCTGATGGTTCTACTGATGTGAATACATCTTCAGTCTCCAAAGTAATTTCCTCATCCCTCAAATCCATTATTTCAGCTTTTACTTTGGAAGATGAACTTCCAAATTTGGGTAGTTTGAAAGTAGGAAGTTTGAACTTGATCTGCGACCCTCCTCTGGTTGAATCATCCTTTAACATCTCTGTGTGAATTTTCAAGTCAGACTCAAGATTCACATCCACTTCACCAACTGCCATAGATGTATCGCCCCTCTCAACCTTAATCTCTGGAGCTTTAATGTCTTGTTCAGAAAATTCATGCTCTGAGCTTGGCATTTTCATCATTACCTCCATTTCCACAGATGCCCCAGGTATGTTTGCTGTTCCCTCAGCACTCTCCTTGTCATGTTTCAGTGAAACCTCTGGTTTTTCCACATCTGTTCTTGATGCACCCTTTTTAAATTCTGGTCCCTTTAGCTTTGGAAATGAAAATTCAAATTTAGGCATCATAAATCTACTCCCTTGACTACCAGGATCAGTGTCTTTGGTTTTTATTTCAGCATCCACTGGTAGGGTTTCGAAAGCTGATTTAGATGGTTCTGTATCTTGCATTCCTGCATCTTTATCTTGTGATGCAACTGCTGATGTTGCCTTTATTTCTGACCATGCATCATCCTCAGCTTTTGTAGTAGATTCTTCCCCAGTCTTTGAAATGGAAATATCAAATTTAGGGAGAGAAATTGTGGCATCTTAAACTTTCCCCCCTGTCCTCCAAGTTCAGTATCATCAACATTCAAGTCCACACTTACAGTTTGACCCTCTGTGGCTAGATGAGGTCCCTTTATTTCTACTGATGGGGCTTCACCTGATATTTTTATTTTTGTATCTGGACCACTCACTTCAGGTCCTTTAACAGCTATATCTACAACTGGCATAGATTTATCTTCCATCGTAGCTTGTCCTCCAATCTTTGGGATGTTGATTGAGGGGAGTTTAAATTTTGTTGTGGCACCAAGAGTTGCTGTATCTTTTTGATCATCCTCAACATTTGACACTGAGATATTCATGCTTTGTTCTTGTATTTTCACATCACCTTCTGGTTTAGAGGTATCAACTTGTGCAAGTCTGACATCAATCTCTGGGGCCTTAATATCTGGTTTAGAAAATCCAAATTTAGGAAGTGAAAAGCCTGGTCTTTTCATTTTCAGACTTGTGTCTTTTAAATCAACTTTTTGATCAAATTTGCTTTCTAGTGTGGCTTGTGATACTTCCGTTTTAGCTGAAGGTTCCCCAAGTTTTGCCTCTGGTAAGGAAATATATCCTTCTGCCTTTGATGTTTTGGCCTCTGTAAGTGACAGGGTGTATTGATCTCCACTATCTACCTTTGGCTGATCAACACTGATTGAGGGTTTCTTCAACTCTTGACTGGGCACATTATAGTCAATTTTTATGTCTGATGGTTCTACTGATGTGAATACATCTTCAGTCTCCAAAGTAATTTCCTCATCCCTCAAATCCATTATTTCAGCTTTTACTTTGGAAGATGAACTTCCAAATTTGGGTAGTTTGAAAGTAGGAAGTTTGAACTTGATCTGCGACCCTCCTCTGGTTGAATCATCCTTTAACATCTCTGTGTGAATTTTCAAGTCAGACTCAAGATTCACATCCACTTCACCTACTGCCATAGATGTATCGCCCCTCTCAACATTAATCTCTGGAGCTTTAATGTCTTGTTCAGAAAATTCATGCTCTGAGCTTGGCATTTTCATCATTACCTCCATTTCCACAGATGCCCCAGGTATGTTTGCTGTTCCCTCAGCACTCTCCTTGTCATGTTTCAGTGAAACCTCTGGTTTTTCCACATCTGTTCTTGATGCACCCTTTTTAAATTCTGGTCCCTTTAGCTTTGGAAATGAAAATTCAAATTTAGGCATCATAAATCTACTCCCTTGACTACCAGGATCAGTGTCTTTGGTTTTTATTTCAGCATCCACTGGTAGGGTTTCGAAAGCTGATTTAGATGGTTCTGTATCTTGCATTCCTGCATCTTTATCTTGTGATGCAACTGCTGATGTTGCCTTTATTTCTGACCATGCATCATCCTCAGCTTTTGTAGTAGATTCTTCCCCAGTCTTTGAAATGGAAATATCAAATTTAGGGAGAGAAATTGTTGGAAGCTTGAATTTAGATGGAGAACCAGAAGTACTTTTGTTTTTTAACTGGACTTCAACCCCTGGAGCAGGAAATGTCACTTCAGTCTCTTTGATCTCAGTTTCAGGCACAGATATGCCTTCTTTTTGAAGGCTGGTGTCAGCATCAGGGATCTTAGTGTCAGATTTGGAAAAGCCAAACTTCGGAAAAGATATTTTACGTTTCTTAAGTTTGAATTCACTCTCCATTTCTTTAGCCTCCAGAATGACTTCATCTACTGAACCTGAAGGAAGTTTGACTTCCACCTCAGGTTTCTTGGCTTGCACTTTAAAATCTTCTATAGCTGTCTCTTGATCAAGACCATGGCCTACAAGGCTCATCTTAACCTCTGGTTTAGAAAATGCATGATCTGGAGACAATACCTTTTCAGAGTGTGCATCAATAGCCTTGTCTACCTCTGGGGTAGATACGTCAACTTCAGGTTTGGAAACACTGAGAATAATATGTGGGGTTTTCATTTCAGGTAATGATGGCAGTTCTGCAGATAGTTTGGTTTCTGGCACTTTCATTTCCATAGTAGGTTCATCTTTGGTGACTTCAGGCATTTGACTGTCAGAGATTGCATCTGTTGATTTTGGAAATGAGACCCCAAATTTTGGGAATTTAATTGTAGGAAATTTAAATTTGGTTGGAGATCTTGGATCTTTCTCAGCCTGGACAGACTCTGCATTTGATTCTTTGGGGTCTATAATTGATTCTTCTTTGTTCGTACTATCAGCTGGCTTGTGGGCTTCAACCTTTGGAATGTTAATGCCAAATTTAGGCAGTGTAACGGTAACCTCTTGTTCTTTGAACTTTGGTTCTTTGACCTTAACATCTACACTAACAAACTGACCTTCTGTAGTCACAAATAAATCCTTGACATCACCTGATGGTGCATCATCTTTGAGTTTCAATCTTATTTGTTTTTCTGGAAGGCTTACATCAGGTTCTTCAATATCGATATCTACAACTGGCATGTCTTTTACTACCTTAGATGATTTTCCACCAAACTTTGGTAAGCTGAGAGAGGGAAGTTTAAACTTTACTGGTGTACCACCACTTGTTAGTTCTTTATGTTCAGCCTCATCCTTTGAAATTGTGAAATTCACACCAGGCTCTCTTATTTCCACAGAACCTATTGGAATTGATAAATCAACCTGTGGAAGACTGACATCAACACCTGCAGCTTTGATGTCTTGTTTTGAAAACGCTGTGGCTGTAATTTCTCCAGCGTCATGGTCAGTCAGACTTGCATCAGTATCTGGTTTAGAAAATGGAATTTCTTCAGATGATTTTATTTCTGTTTTCTGAAAACCTTTGATTTCTATCTTACCCTCAGGCAGAGACAAGTCAACTTCAGGTTTGGATACACTGAGAGTCATTTCCGGGCCTTTCTTGTCAGATAGTGCTGTTGATTCTACAGATAGTTTAGCTTCTGGAAATTTAACATCCATTGTAGTCTCCTCTGTTCTGACATCAGGCATTTGAAAATCGGCCCTAGCATCAGTGGACTTGGGAAATGAGACTCCAAATTTGGGAAGTTTAATTGTGGGAAGTTTAAATTTTGTGGGAGAATCTGTTGAATCCTTGAACTCAGCCTCTACATCTGTGGTCTTACTTTCAACATCTATTTCTGTCCCATCAGCATCATGAGAGCCCTGTACGGCTGGTAGAGTTATGTCAGCATAAGATACTTTAGTATCTGTTTTAGAGAATCCAAATTTGGGAAATGATATTTTCCGTTTCTTCATTTTAGACTCTGCTTCTTTTATTTCAGCTTGTGGAATTTCAGGTAGCTCCACTTCAGTTTTTCTGCTAACCTTGATGTTTTTTTCAGAATCATCTGGTAACAGACCACCTTCTTCTGTCTTCTCTTTTGGCATTGAAATACCAAACTTGATCAGTCTAAATCCACTTTCCTCTTGATCATCCTCAACAGCCTGAGGCTTTGCGAGCCCAGTTTCCTCCTGCTTTGATTTTCCCTCTGCCTTAGGGATTTTTATTTTTGGAACAGAAACATCTATGCTTGGCATTTTTAATTTAGTCCAATTTTTGTCTGTTTCTGGATCAGTCTCAGATGTTCTCTTCTCAGAATCTAATACAACCTCTGTTATGTCACTTTCTTGCACTGTAACATCCTCTTTTGTAGTGACTTCAGCTGTTCCTTTCATAGATTTCCCTCCAATTTTGGGCATTTTTAATTTAGGCAATTTCTTTTTTTGTGGGGAGGAGTCTGTGTCTTTGCTTTTGATTTCAGCCTTCAGTTCTCCTGCAACATCTTGTTTTGAGGTTTCCTTAACAATAGTAGTGCAAATGTCATGGTGGAGCATTTGATCACCCTCTATATCATGTGCTTTTTTAGTTTCATCAAATGTTGCTTCTTCAGAAGATTTTTTGATGTCTTCTTCAAGAGATATTTTTGCTTCCGTTTTCATCTCCTTGATTGCACCACTATCACTTTTAGATGACGTGGCCTTTATTGGTAATTCAATCGCAATACCTGGGAAGCGAATGTCAGGTGTCATGATTCCAAAACTTGGCATTGATACCTTTGATTTCTTTTCATGCACATTTTTGTCAGCTTTGATATCAGTATCAGTATAGTCTTTCACAGCCTTGTCTTGAGTGTCTGTATCTTTGGTTATTATGATTTTTTGTGGTGGAACTGATTGTTCAATGGCTTCCATTCCTGGTATTTCAATGTCTTCACGCTTCGGAAGTTTGAATTTTACATCTGGAGATGTACTTATCTTATTATCCCTTGCTAACTTTTTGCCAGGTTTGGGTTGGTGGTCTACACGTTTAATTTTTGATTGGTCTGTTTTGCTCTCAGTTATAACTGTTTCATCAAGATGCAATTGTTCCATTTTTGGTAATATGAAGGCTTGATCTTTTGTAGCAACAGGAGAAAGTCTCTGCTTTTCTTTATCCATTGTGTCAGGCAACTTAATGTTTATTTCTGTGCTCATGCTCGAAATTTTACAAGGGGATCCTTTAGGTGTCATGTCAGTCTTGTCTGTCTTCATTTCCATGATTGTGATCTCTCTCTGTACAAGGACTCCAGTGATGTCTCTCTCAGGTAATTTGAAGGAAGGGAATTTTGATACTGCTTCTTTTACATCCTCAACATTAAACTCTTCTGCTTCACCCCGAGATTGCTTTTTTCCTGCTTTTGAGATATTTATTATCTTCTCAACTTTTTGTTCTTTAATTCTAAGAGATTTAACCTTGGCTTTTGATCCTTTGTCCTCCATGCCAGGAATCTCAATTTCCTCTCGTTTCAGGAGAGGTACTTTGGTTGGTTCTCTCTGTTTTACAGTTATTGATTCTTGATGGTCGAATTCAGAGACATCTACTTTAGGCAGTTTAAAAGTTGATTCAATGTCAGTGCTACCTCCAGTACTCTTCCTGCTTCTGTCCACATCCAGAGCATGTGATTTTGGCTGGGATATAACAGGTGTTGGAGTGATTGGTTTCTTTGTGTCTGTTGAGGACACATCCTCACTTGTTTGAATTTCAAAAGTGAAAGTGTCTGATGTAAAGTCTAGTCTGTTTACTGCATTTGAAAAATGTCTCTTTGATGTGGCTATGTCTGCCAGTGGTCCTCTGGTTCGAATTCCATAACTTTCTGTTTCTAGAATTTTTCTTTCTTTCTTTTCCTTGTCGCTGCCAATTCTTGGTGATTTGCTTATCGGTCCTACCTCTGGCATGTCAAGAGAAACATCAACTTTAGGTATGGTCATGTCTGTTTTTCCTGACTCTTGAGTCTTTTGTAAAATCTTTTTATCTCTTGATTTGCTATCGGAATCAACTTGATGTCCAGCTGGTTCAGTTTGTGGTATTACATTTGGACTGTCCAAAATATTGTTGGATGTTGATGGATCCAAAGTTCTCATTCCACTTGTGGAGGATTTTAATTGGCTCTCTGTTTCTATTTCATATGTATCCTTTCCTGGAATGCTAACCCTCAGTTCCGATTTCTCTCTCCTTTCTTTGCCATCATCTCCAAGAGCGACTGTAATATCAGTAGTCTTTAATGTGGTGTCCACACTGATGAGCTCAACCTTATGCAGTGATTCAGTCGCTGGCAAAGTCGGGAATGTATATTCATTTCTTGTTTTAGCTGAGTCAGCTTCATTCAATATTTTAGGACTCTCTATCACATTAGTCACTGGCACTTGCTCTTCCACTATATTCATAATAATTTGGTTGTCCAAGCCCTCCATATCATCTGTTGCAAGCGCCTCTTCATTTTCTTGGGTTTCTTCAACAGATTTGCTCCTGTGGCCTGCCATCCGCTTCTTAAGTTTCATTTTGTGCATCTTTTTCTTGTCTTTTCCATCTGGGGATTTTAATGGAGACTTAAGTGGAGACTCTGTGTCACTTGTTGGTGGACTTATCTCTAATTTTCTCTGTTCCTCTGCTTCTGATGTGCTGTGAGATCTTTTAAAATTTGCCCTGCGACCTTTGCTGAAGGTAGGGAATTTGGGCCAAGAGATGCGATCATATTGCTTTTTTGTCTTTCTTCGACCTCTCATCTCTGGTCCTCTTCCTTCTTCTTCTTGCTCAGCCTCCCCGCCCTGCAAACATTGATGAAGCAGATATAATGTCAATGAAACCTCTGAAGAAGCTTGGCTGTATTCTGTATTTAAGAATGTAATGAACAGTATTATAATTACAATGGCTGTATCTGGCCTCATTGTCTCAGCATCTTCCTGGGTTCTTGGAGGTGGTTTGCGTTTTAGACAGAATGCCACTTTATATGGTTGAGCATGCTCAAGAATCTGGAGGGCGTCTTCATATGACACATTATCAAAATATACTGTAGCACTAAGTATTTGATCACCTGAAAGTCCAGATGGAAGAACACAAATGAGGATGCAAGTGAAAAGATGGAGGAAAAACAAATTTAGCTGTATTCTAGCTTCAGAAATATTCTGGAATGTGCTATAATAAAAATCTCACCTTCTTTCACACTTAAATGCTTTGAGGCAGGCGACTCTGGTTTTACGTCCTTGATGAAGATGCCGTCCTTTCCTCCACTTACAATCAAACCCTCAGCACAAACTTCTTTCACAGTTTTGACTATTATTTCTGACTGATCACTTTGCATATCCTGAAACAGAATGCAAGTCATTTAGAAATTGATTCCTGTTTTCTCAGTATTTACATTCCTAAACATCTGTATTCTTCACTAGAGAGAACTTTAGGTGTGTCTGACCTCTGTTTGATTCATCTTGGCAGAGGAACGCTTGTCAAACAGTGAGCCGAAACCAATCCTTTTGCTTTTTTTGGAACTCTTGGTGGGTGAGTCATAGAAGTCACCTTCAGCCTGACAAAACAGCATGTGATATATTAAATAGATAATAGTTTGATGATCAAATACAGCATTATACAATTCTGAATTAGGGTTATTATACTGTACATAAATAAGATAAGAGTCTAATGTAGCGCTCACCTGTTTCGCGTATTTCTCTGTGGTGGGGAATTCCTCAACAGGAGAGGAACCCTGAGGACGAGGTCTTTCCCCCTCTAAAACTTCAGGCTCCTCACCTACCTATTATATCAAACACAAATTAAAGATTATTTAAACAATTAAACAGTTTAAAACAGAGAGACAGTTTAACACAAGTGTATGTTGTATATTTGCTGAATGTGCTTTACTTGAGTGATACTCACTAAATCATCATCTGTGTCTTGTTCTGGTCCCTTCAGCCTGCGCCCTTCTCCTGTTGTGATGAAAAAAGCAGAATAAGCACTTAAAGGGGTCATAGGATGCCCATTTTCCACACGTTGATATGATTCTTTAGGGTCTTAATGAAAAGTCTGTAACATAGTTTGGTTAAAATTTCTCAATGGTAGTGTAAAAAACACCTTTTTTACCCTGTCAAAAACAGCTCTTTTCAGAGCATGCAGATTTGTAGCATTTTCCTTTAAATGTTAATGAGCTCTGCTGACCCTGCCCCTCTCTTCCGAGCTGCTCTCAGAGAGACTGTTTACTTTAGCCGCATTCATCGTGAAACTTGCTAATTAGCACATTATTAGGAAAGGCGATTTGCAAAGAAATGGCGGACTGATGACAGCTCACTCAGGGCGGGTCTAAGGTAAGACGCCAGTCCAGTCTGTGCTGAAACGCTACTGTCAATCAAACTGTCGTGGGAGGGGCCTGTCTGTGTGACGTCACACAGACAGGCATCTGAGATCGGCTCGATTTGAGAAAGGGGTAAAGATTTTAGTAGATTGACAAAAAACCACTGGGTGGATTTTTATCATTTTAGGGTGGTTGTGTACACACACTGCCAACACACATTTCAGTTCAAACAACTTGTAAAAGTGCATGTAGCATTATATGACCCCTTTAAGGGTCAAGCTTTGTGAATACATAGGTTTTACATCTGGCTGCTAAGTGAAAAGCTCACACGGGACTTGAATTTGATGTTGGTGCATTATGTTTTCTGTACATATGACCGAAATTTAAGCCTGTTAGTCATCTATGCAATCTATACTTTCTTTATTTGCTGTTTTATAGCTTGTACTGATTGGAGAGTCAGTGAGTGATCTACTGTATTTTGCAAGACCAAAACTTTTTTTTTTTAATCTGCAAAAAAGGCATAGCAAAATTTCTGTTTACAATATTTCCTCGCAGATATTCCCACAGGATCCAGACTGTCTACCTGCTTCTGTTGCTTCCTGTAAATTGAGGCACTCTATTGATCTTAAGGGGTCGGTTTACACTGCCAGCAATGAGACCAACATGGAAACGATATAGGTTCAAAAAGGACAGTGCAAATAATATGGTTATAAATATCTGCAGATGTGGTATTATTCTAATATTATTATATATATTTTTATTTTACAGCATGAAGAAATGATTCCCTTGCATAATTTTTTTAATAGTTGTATGAATTTTAACAATATTATACAATAGACAGAAATACTTAAATGATACCAGCAGCAATAATACTTTCATGACCTCCTTTCTTCTGAGAAAGGCATAAATTTCCAGTTTCCCATAACAGAATGCACTTAAAGGATCATTTAGGTACATAAACATTTTCCATAAGCCTCACTCTACCCAGTCCATTAACCTGCACTTTCCTTCAAGCACTTATCCAGGCATCAAGTCTAAATCACATTGAAGCACACTGGAGATTTATGTACAGTAAGCATGTCATGTAGCATGTGAACATGATGTAGTTGAGTCTTGATAGACTCTCAATTATTTCCCCAGCCCCTTTTTTTTTTTTTTTTTTTTGCAGTTTCTAATGATCAGACACTAAACTTGTGAATGCACCAATGTATAGACAGCTGAGGAAAAGCAGTGATAAATGTGAATTAAAAAAAGTAAACAGACTTGTTAGAGGGAGGAGAAAACTCTTCCCATATGTTTTGTTGGTGTCAAAGGCTTTGAGAACAATCCAACTCAATAGTATTCTGGTAAAAATTAATATGCCATTCATCTATCATTCTGTCATTATGCAGATGTCAGCATTGACATGTTACATGACACACCCTCTATTTAAAAAATTAAAAAACAAAATTACGCAAGTTTTGTGTCGACCACAATTAGGCCCTTTAAACCCTGATTTTAAACAGGTAAAGCAATGTTTGAAAGGGGTTTAGCACCACTTTTGCTGGGTGCAAACCCAGCACCTTGGGTTATGAAACCATTCTCTGTTTAATAATAATGCAATAGAAACTGTTAATTAAACAGGTCATATACTGTGTTTCTTCACTCAATGATATTGGCAAAACCAATGGTTTAAGTAAACTGATGTTCATAGGAGAGATCAGGGGTGATTGTAACAGTCGGTTTCTAACTGAGGGTTTTGGTTTTAACATACAGTATATGATGAACAAGCAGAAAAAATGACATAGCTGTGGTTTTGAGGTTTGATATGTTGTGGTGCAGATCAACAAGTTTCAACTAGGTGTCTTTTCTGACTGCTATTGTAGCTAAACAGGCTTATATACAGTATATATATTTTTTTTTTCACTTGCTATAAAGCTTTATAATATCTGTCCAAAACCAACACCGTGAATGGAACAGGCCCAAACAGCAGGCCTTACTTTCTTCAAGTTTTTTTTTTCTTAAATGCTTTCAGGCTCCTCACCCCTGTCAGGTATAATGAGGCTGTTTGTTAGTTGGTATATGTAATAATTACAGAATAAAATGCTTTAAAATGTTCTTGAAAGGCCATTGTCAATCATTAATAAGTTATTTAAAATAAAATCAACTCTAAACCAATCATTCCTGGGTTCCTATACGTTGTGTGTTTCTGTTAGGATTGCAAATTAAATATGTGAGCTCTGCTGTAGGTGTTGTGAAATCAGTTTTAGCTCGATTCAGAAAAATAATATGCACAACCTATTGCTTTTAAAACATGCTGTTTACTTCAGTATGTTACTGAAATATTTTGAAGTACAAACACTAAAAAGAATCCATGTGCCAATATGAAAATAGCCTAGATCACAGAATTATGACTAAATTAAATCTAAAACAAAAAAACAGTATTATGCAATGTATATCCAAAAACATCATGCTGCTGCATTGTAATTACAATGATGCAAAATTGCTCTCCAGGTAAACATTAAAGGTTAACAATTACAGGTTTGCACTTACCTGATCTGTGGCTTACTTGCAGAAATACATGTTTTACTGTTTTCCAGATAGTAATTCACCTAGTGCACAGCATGCATTGACAGGATAGTTTGTGGGTAGTTGTTAGTTTTAGTGGAGAAGATGAAGGGCCCTGCCCTTTTTGTAGGTATGTCACAACCCTGTTTCAGGGCTGTGGTTTAAACTCCTGCTAGTGCTATTGTGCTGAAGAATAAACATCTGAATGTGTAACACTGCTTGCACACATTCACAAATGAATATAAATGATATTTTCTTGATATTTTGAAGCAAAGGAATCAGGGTAAAGATTTTGTTGTAAGGGTATTTATGTCCCTCTGTTCTCCAGTGAATGTTGTCTGCGTTTGTTTAGTTTAGTTTTGAGTTGAAGGAAATAGTTATGACATTAGTGTACAGTGGGAAATAAATGCAGAATGAAGACAAGATCTCATGCAGTTCGGAGTTCTTTTTTTCATTGTGCTTTTTGCCAAAGTAAATAAATAAGAAGACTTTAAAGAATAGATCAGTTTACTCAATACAAAGCAAGATGCCAATCACATGATGTTTGTGCAGTATGTGTGTGCACATGGTTGACTGTGTGTTTAAATACCAGTCCAAAAATTCCTTTTATACCCCCATAATTATCATTTAGCTTCATATTTGTTATAAAATTACCATGCAACTGATTTAGCAAGCAACAGAAAAAAAAAAAAAAAAAAAAAGCCTATTTGATTTTTAGGCACAATCATTGATCCTTAACTGAGATGGACATGAGTGTGAGAAATTCGGTATTAGTAAATTGATAACGTAGTTACTTCTTAATCAAACATTTGCTCACAGGGTGCTGATCTAAAAGTGATAAAGCATTTAAAGTATGTGACTATACTGTAAAATAGTTTTAAAGTACATAATTTGTGTTACTAGCATAGGAAATCCTAACACCACTTATAAAGTACAGAAAGTACATGCACACACAGATTCTCTTTATAATTTTATGATGTTATGAAGGACTACACAAAATTGAATTTATTCAAGGTCGTTATATTTAATGCATGTTGTTATCATCATGACTAAATCTAGTAACTAGCGTACATTGAGTTAAATAGCCTATGTGTGTCTCATTGTGGACAGAGTCTTTGTTTATAATATATAATTTTATTTTTGAAGCTCTCTGCAAAGCAAAAATGAACATGAAGGTTGTGCATATGTTGTCCATTTCAGTTTATTCCTATTCCTGTGGATCATTCAAGGTCATTTCATCTTCTGGCATAAGATCATAACATCATCAACAAACTGAACTATATTTTATTGACATTGTTTGTGAAGATGTTATGTTTGTGTGCCCAAATATGTCACCAAAAGCTCTTTTTTTAATTTTTAGATTTAATCAGAGGTGTAAAGAGTACCGAAAATCCATCCTCATCTCATATATAAAACACCTGTGATTCACAAATACTTAAGGAACTCGCATTCACATAAAGTAGCCTTGTTGACAAGTTTGGGTGAGTAAGGGCAAAACGCACAAGATGCAGTACTTTCAGTGACCTGTAATAGGCAGTATCACATCTTTTGTAGCAGAAATGAACTGCTGCAGAAAAAGCTAGGTCCATGCAAAATTTAATGTGTAACTGCAACACTCATTTCAAATGTAGTGGAGTAAAGAGTACAGATACTCATTCAAAAATGTAGTGAAGTAAAGAGTAAAAGTTGCTAATATCTTTGATACTCAGTACAACTACAAAGTACCCGAAAAGATACTCAAGTACAGTAACTAATTACATTTACTCCAATACTTTACACCTCTGGATTTAATTTACACTACATCATCAGAAAACTGACCTACGTTTTATTGATGTCATTTGTGAAGACTTTATGCTTGTGTATGCAAACAGTTCACTAAAATATGTCGTCAAAATCTCTGAAATCACATTTTATAGTACATAAGTTGTAAGGACTTGGTTATTTTGAACTTGAAAGAGATGGTCATTTTGAAATGTAGAAAAGGTCTGCATGAAGTTTCTTCAAAAATTCTCCTTTTATGTTTTACAGGGAAACTAACAACATATGGGTTTGGAACAACATGAGGGTGAGTTAATAATAGATTTTCACTTTTGGGTGAAGTATTCAGTATTATTATTACATATTAGTATTATATATTTATTCTATGAATGATTCATCTTTTAAAAAATGCTAAATTAATTAAGTCCAAACCTTTAACACACCTCTCTAACTGAAATAAGTATTGCAAATGCTGTAGGTGGTATGTTTCATATTTCATGATATTACAACATAAGCTGTAAAAATCCTGGAATTACCCAACTGCTGATCTCCTGTATGTTAGCACATCTCCCATGACCAAGATTACAGGCATTAGAGGTTGTTTTCTGCTCCTGTGGCCATACGAGGCCCAGAGCTCTGCTCCTTCAGCACACTAATACGGTTAATTAGCTGCTCAGCAAGATACAGGGAGCAGGAACATCAATTCTGGCCTGCACTCATAACATCATACACAAGCCTCTTTCAGAGTCAAGTGGGAAAGACTTGTTTTTATTCAAAATATAATTGAATTTCAGGGCCGGAGAGGGAAAATAAACTGAAAACAGAATTGGATTTTCTTCCATATTAAGAACATGGGACCAAGTTCCCTCATGTTTCCAATCAATCAGCCGCAATAATTGATGCATTTACTGTATGTGCCAAAGAGATGATGGCTTTAAAATTAAGAGTTAAACAGAGAGTTTCTCTTCTAATATCATTTACTAAACTCATGTCATTCCTAAACTATATGTTTCGTAAATAATAAGATATGTTTTCTCCATACAATGTTGTTTGGAAATATATTCTTGAAAGTCATACAGATTTGGAATGACATGAGGGTGAGTATAAATGATGACTTATTTATTTATTTAGATAGGTAGGTAGGCAGGTATACTGTAGGTATTTATTTTATTTATTTTTTTGGTAACAGTTTACTTAAAGCCTTAATGTGTAATGCATTATAAGAGCCGTTTTAATGCATTTATTATGCATTGTAATGCACCTTAAAATGCATTGTATGATCTTAAGAATATTTATAACCTCAGTTATAATACATTATAATACTAATCTATTCACTGTTACACCTGTAGAATAATGCATATAATGCATTAAAACATGACAAACTAAACTTCAAATATTATAATGCATTTAACGTTGGTTACAATCATTTATAAAAAAGATATAATGCATTACAATGTACATTATGAATACTTTTATAATGTG